CCCCCCCCCGCACGCACACCTCTCGACCCGCCTCCAGGGTTTCCAGCTTTGGGAGTTCCTGGGGATGTGGGGGGGGCAGGGCGGGGCCTTCGGTGGAGTATAACTGTTTCTCCAGGGGAACTGAGCCCTGTCCCCTCTGTGGTTCCAGGAGGAGATGCCGACGCAGATCTCAGTCTCACACCCTCCCTCGCCGCCCCAGGAGCCTGGCTGCCCGCCTGCCCAAGGAACTTCCTTCCCAGACAGGGGGCAGGACTCCCTCCCCCCCCCCGGACCCTGCCACGGTGCCCCACTCTCCTCTGCACTCCAGAGAGCCGGACAAAACAGGCCAGCAGAAGCAGCGGCTCTCCTCTTGGCCCCGGCCAGCCCTGAACTCCCAAGCACACACCCCTGCCCGCCCGCCCGCCTGCAGGACGGGCTGACCCTGGCCCCCCACCAGCCCCACCCTCCCCCCTCCCTTCACGCAGGGTCCGGAGTGGCCCTCACCAGGCCTGCTGAGCGGGAGTAGCGCACTTTCCGATCCATCATGGCCACCGAGGGGAGAGGCGGCACCCTGCGGAGGGAAGGAAGGAAGGAGGCAGGAGAAGTCGAGGGGGGGGGGGGCAGAAAGGGCCCCAAACCCGAGCACGTGTCTGGTCCTCCTGGGGAGGTGGGCACCACCGCGGTGGTAGCACGTGGCTCAGGCCACAGAGGCCAGAGGGGGCGTGGCGTGGCGAGAGAGGGACTCGGCCCGGGGCCGCTCCTTGGAGGCCTTGGGCCAGGAGGGTGAGGCGGCCACAACCCTTCTGTCCTGGAGCGGCCTTGGCAGTCTCTGCCCGGGGAGGCGAAGAGGAGAGCCCTCTTGCAAAGCAGGCCCATCCAGTGGGGAAGGAAGGCCCCTCCCCCCTCGCAGGAACAGCAGGACCTCCCCCCCCCCCCCCCCCGCACCGGTCAGCATGAGCCCGGAAGAAGGTGGTCCGGGACAGCCTTGGCCGGAACATGGAAACCCACCTGCCGAGTGGCCACCTAGAGGATCCAAGCAGACCCGCCCCCCTCACTGACCACCGCTTCTGCCTCAGTAAATCTGCTGGTGTCCAAAGTGCCCCCAGACTCCAGAGGCGGGTTTTGCTGCCACCCTCTGACGGTCCTGGCCCTTGGGATCGGGGCCCCCTCTGCCACCAAGGGACCCCCCTTCCGCCACCTGCCCGCATAGTCTCAGGGGCCTGTGCCCCGGCAGCCGAGGGGCACAGAGAGCCTGGCCCCCGGGCAGGGCAGCCTAGTGGTTGGACCCATCCCCTGCCAGAAATACCCGATGCTGGACTTTGTCCAAAGCCGCCTCCACCATTCGAGCATCGCCCCGCTGCGGATCAGGCGCAACATCCCTCCTCTCTCGCTGCCGGGGAAGCAGAAGCAGAAGCGAGCAGGTGACACAGCCTGGCTTGGCTACACCGGGCCCGGCACCCCAGCAGCCCCTGGTCCCGCCCTGGGAATCTGGCCCAGCTCCCCCCCCCCAGGGCTGCCTCCCCCCACCCCACCTTTGGCCTTCACGGTGAAGGCTCCCGCTAAGGAGGCAGGTTGCCCTAGTCCCTCCACTCTGACTGGCAGGGGGCTCTCCCTCCAGGGTCTCCAAGGAGAGGCCTTTCCCATCTCCCGCCCCCCTCCTTTCACTGGGGATGCTGCTGGGGACTGAAGCAGAGACCTCTGGCGCGCCAGGCAGCTGCTCACGGCCCCTCCCCCAAGAGCATATAGCCACCAACAACTTCCTTGTCTCTTGCCAGGGTCCTCTCTCCAGCCCCTCCACCCAGGTGCCTCCTCCTCCTCCTCCGGGAGCCCCCGACAGGTGACAAGACGGTCAGGCTCTGAGGAACACCTGAGCAGGGGGGAGCGTCTATTTCGTTCCCCTGGATTGCCGCTGTTGACAGACCTGTTTGACCAAACAAGCAAGACTGGGGATCTCCCAATTCACCCCCAAAGTCCAGCTGTGGGCAAAAGGTACTCCCAACTTGGGAGGAGTACAGAACCATACAATGTTCCTGCACTATGACATCACGGCTTCTTGGGTGACGTCCTTCAGAGTACTGTGATGTCAAACCACACTGCAAAGAACATAAGAATATAAGAAGAGCCCCACTGGATCCGACCATCCAGTCCAGCACCCCGTCTCACACAGGGGCCAACCCATTCCTCCGGAGGGCCAGCAAACAGGGCAGAGAGGCCGAGGCCTTCCCCTGATGTTGCCTCCTGCCTCTGGGATTCAGAGGTTGACTGCCTCTGAACATGGAGGTTCCCTGTAGTCCTCCATGAATCTGTCTCATCCCCTTTGAAAGGTCTCTGTGCCTGTGGCCATCACCGTCGGTTCCAGCAGAAAAGTCCACATTTTCATCACTGGCTGTGTAAAGAAGTATTTCCTTTTGTCCGTCCTGAACCTCCTGCCCGTCAGCTTCCCTGGATGCCCCCGAGTACTTGTATTTTGGGAGAAGGAGGAAAAGTTCTCTTTGTCCACTCTCCCCCCACCCCATGCATAATTGCTAAAGCCTTTGACTGTGTGGATCACAACAAACTATGGCAGGTCCTTAAAGAGATGGGAGTACCAGACCACCTCACATGTCTCTTGAGAAACCTGTATAAGGGCCAAGAAGCGACAGTTAGAATCGGATATGGAACAACTGATTGGTTCAGCATAGGAAAAGGAGTACGACAAGGATGTATATTGTTGCCTTGCTTATTTAATATATATGCAGAGTACATCATGCGAAATGCTGGCCTGGATGAATCACAAGCGGGAATCAAGATTGCTGGGGAAAAGATCAACAACCTCAGATATGCAGACAATAGCACTCTAATGGCAGAAAGTGAAGAGGACCTAAAGAGCCTCTTGCTCAGAGTGAAAGAGGAGACCGCAAAAGTGGGCTTGAAGCTCAACATCCAAAAAACTAAGATCATGGCATCCGGCCCCATCACTCCTTGGCAAATAGAAGGGGAAGTCGTGGAAGTAGTGACAGACTTCACATTCCTGGGATCCCAGATCACCGCAGACTGTGACTGCAGCCATGAAATTAAAATACGACTGCTCCTTGGGAGGAAAGCAATGGCGAACCTAAACACCATGATAAAAAATAGAGCCATCTCCCTGCCAACAAAAGTTCGCATGGTCAAAGCAATGGTATTCCCAGTAGTCATGTATGGCTGCGAGAGTTGGACTATAAGGAAGGCTGAGCGCCGAAGAATAGATTCTTTTGAACTATGGTGCTGGAGAAGACTCTTGAGAGTCCCTTGGACTGCCAGAAGATCAAATCAGTCAATCCCAAAAGAAATCAACCCTGACTGTTCCCTGGAAGGCCAGATAATGAAACTGAAGCTCAAAGACTTTGGCCACCCAATGAGAAGGGAGCCCTAGCTGGAGAAGAAGGCCCCGATGCTGGGGAAGACTGAAGGTCAAAGAAGAAGGGGGCGGCGAAGGATGAGATGATCGGACAGTGTCATCGAGGCAACGAACATGAAATTGAGCCAACTTCAGAGGACGGCGGAAGACGGGAAGGCCTGGCGTGATCTGGTCCATGGGGTCGCGAAGAGTCAGACTCGACTGTGCGACTGAACAACAACAACAAAAAGCTCCTTGCAGGAGGGAGGAGCTCTCTTTTCCTTGGGTGCCTAGTTCATGAGTGGACACAGACCTCTTTCCCCTGAAGGAGGCAGCCATTGACCTTCTCGGCCCTGGTGCCGGCTTGGTGGGGCACTCTGCCTACTCACAGCAGGGCCCTGTGACAACTCCGCAGGGCCTCTAAGGCGGAGATGTCCCACCAAGCATATGGTTGGGGACAGCAGTGGGTTTTTAAAAGGTTTTCAACATCTAGTCGGCTTTTTACTGCCTTTCTCTCCCTTTCCCCCATGAATCTGTCTCATCCCCTTTGAAAGGTCTCTGTGCCTGTGGCCATCACCGTCGGTTCCAGCAGAAAAGTCCACATTTTCATCACTGGCTGTGTAAAGAAGTATTTCCTTTTGTCCGTCCTGAACCTCCTGCCCGTCAGCTTCCCTGGATGCCCCCGAGTACTTGTATTTTGGGAGAAGGAGGAAAAGTTCTCTTTGTCCACTCTCCCCCCACCCCATGCATAATTGCTAAAGCCTTTGACTGTGTGGATCACAACAAACTATGGCAGGTCCTTAAAGAGATGGGAGTACCAGACCACCTCACATGTCTCTTGAGAAACCTGTATAAGGGCCAAGAAGCGACAGTTAGAACCGGATACGGAACAACTGATTGGTTTAGCATAGGAAAAGGAGTACGACAAGGATGTATATTGTCACCTTGCTTTTTTAATATATATGCAGAGTACATAATGCAAAATGCTGGCCTTGATGAATCACAAGCGGGATGATGTATATTGGGGGGGGGGGTCAGGAATTTATATTATTATGGTGCCGTGCAGATGTTGGGCTTCATGGACTGGGATTTTAGATTGTGGGTGTTGTATATTGATATGTATGTGAATGGATTGTGTTGTGTGCTGCTCTGAGCCGCTTGCAGGGGGGGGGACGCTGCAGAAGCCTAATGCAATAAATAGATCAGTACATAAATTACCCGGATGTAAGCAGAGATCGCCAGCCAAAGCGACCGGTGCTGTCTCAGTCCCAAAGCCAGGCCCAGAGCCCGACTGAGAAGGGTCCAGGGCAGAGGCCTCGTCCAGGGCCACGTCTCACTCACCCACCTGTCAGCAAGCTGCCATGGTGTTCTGTGTTAGTTGTATCTCTGTACAGTTGCTAACCCCCCCTGCCTGTGCGCCAGTATTTTACTCTGCTGTAATGCCTAAGCCAAACAACTGGAGGATGTGATGGGGGAGTACGCTTGACTGCCAGCTTGTTGCTTTTAGAGCCTGGGAACTGCACCTGTATTATGTCTGGAGATAGCCTGGTTCTCAGGGAATGAGCGCGCAACCGTTTCCTTTCACCCGCCAGCGGGAAAGTGACCCATTGGTTCTGTACCTGGTTCAAACCCCTTTATCTTGTTTGCTCTAACCGTTTGTAGTCAGTTCTAACAAAGAACGTGTTTGAGTGTCTTTCCAAAGCTTTGAAATAAATTTTGCTTTTCTTTAAAACGTGGATTTATTCTCGATGCTTGGGGATCCAACAAATTGTTAGAACTCTCAATTTTCCTATCGTCCCGAATCTGACGTGATCATGAGCGGGGCAGAGGGAAACCTACCTACAACGGAGGGGGACACGGGATCTGTCCCTACAACCTCCACATCGTTGATCACCACGACTACCATACCTACGTCGGGTGCGGTGGGGGGAGCGATTTCCCGGTTACCTGCGTACTTGTCTTGGCCGCCTCCAACCCCTTCGCGCTGGGGCCCGCGGACGGTACCGGCGCAGGATGATTGGACTTTGTATAATGCCAAGGGCACCAGGGAGGTTTACTCCCGCCGAGGCAGCGGACTTCGAGAGAGTCTGTTTGACAAAGGACTTTACCCCGAACCGGAGAGAACG